AAGTAAAGTTTAATTTGTAATACCCGGTAAATAGTATAATTTAATAATAAGAGTAAAAAAAAAATAGACCGACGTAATTAATTAATAAATCCATGGGTGATAAAGCCCAGAAGCTCGATCGATTTCGCAAAACCTTGGCGACGATTTAATTTACGTCGACCATCCGCGTTTTAATTGTTATTAATTAACGGTCGGCGGAATTATACATAGACGAAAAAGCGACCGCAATCTCGGCCGCATCCGAAGGCAGGAAAACGCTGGCAACACAACCGCGACTTTGCAACGTAAAAAATAATTAATAAAGCAATTAAGTATCGCTTAATTGACATCACGGGCAATAATTAAAACGCCTGCTTATTTCTGCGTAATTTAAGACTCCCCGATCGCCCCCCCCCCTCCTCACGCTAGGCCGTTTACTGTACAATGTTGTCAGTAAATTGACTTGCGCATTCGTCGACGTTATTTATGTATGTATTTATTTATTTATTTATATTTCACAGGTCAACCAGTTACCCAATTACGGAACGGCACAATATGGGCTTATACTATTTCACAATTTCGCAATTTCACAAAAAGTGAGCAATAAATTTCTTATCTCCGCAATGAAAGCAAAGGTTCAAATAAATTATAACTACCAGCTAAAGAATTTTATATGCGTTTGTTTTAAATAATTGTTGATTGTTTTTTTAAAAAGGTTGTTTGTTAAAAAGATTTTTTTATGCTGTCTGATGATGTATTTACTATAAATATGATTCCAAACTGTGGATGAGTGCTCTAGTACAGACGTTATCATGCTATTATACACGATTATTATTGACTGATGCTTGTTGAACCCTTTGGTAGTTCTCAGATTTCTGACAGTAGTTTCCATACGAGCCTCAAAGTTTAACTGCGATTCAAGAACAATTCGCAAGTCTATTACTTGCTTAACAGGTGTTTATTATGAATAATCCTTGGTTTCTGCTATAATCAGCAAATCTGTCAAGATCGCTCTGAAGCTCTAACACATCTAAATGCGAACGAATCTCTTTTCTTACTTTTAAATCATCGGCAAAAGAAGCATGAAAAGAAACAGGAGAACAAAGGCCAACACACGAAACACGAAAACAAAATTATTAAAAAGTAAAGGGCCCAAGGAAAAATCGGTACACACAGCGTCTCAAATGATGATGAGCCAAGCTTATAAGAACGTTTTTTCGTGAAAACCATGTCAATTTGGATCTACGTCACTCTTTACCAGAAAAAACGACTGTTAATAAATTGCAGCCTCAAAAACCTTGGCAAAGTGAGAGATAGAAACTTTAAAATAGGCACTGCGTGAACCACTTTCCAGCTTTTTGGAAATGTCCCTTTAGCTAGACATTTATTAAAGAGAATGCGAGTTTTTGGAAAAAGCGGGCAATTTTTGAGAAATTGTGTATCCCTAGTTTCAAACACACCACTAAAATAGACACAAAAAAGTTGAGACATATTTTGAGAACCATTTGCTGTAGCACCGAGTTATCTTATCAATCAAAAATGTCAAATAAAAATTCTATCCGCAAATCTTGACAGGTGGACATTTTTTTTTAAATTGAATTTCAAATGTGTATGAGTCAAATGTATATGGGTAATTTTTAACAGATTTTGAAATATCGCGCATTTTATTTCATATTAGATGTGATTAAATTGATCACCGAAAACTTATAGAAATATTACAGAACATGAATATTGACAGCCGGGACATCAGAATGATAGCGAATCTTTACTTCATCAGCTTACAGATGAAGTGAAGATTCTGCGAGATATGCGTCAAGGCTTTAACGTATATAGTGAGGCAATTTCAGACCGATTTTAAACAACTTATTTTATGCGGACGACACCATTATAGTTACAGACAAGCTTGAAGATCTGCAAACCGTGCTGCAGAGGCTAAATGGTACATGTGAAATATATGGACTAAACGTGAACCTTAAGAAAACTAAATACAAGATTATTGCAAAGAAAGTAAATATTACTATATACTACACAACGATAAAAACAGTAAGAAAATACAAATACTGGGGAACATGGCTACACGAAACAATGGAGCAGTCTCATGACATCAAAAGTCTCGTAGAGGCAGTCAAAAGTGCATTGCATTGAAGCAGATATATAAATTTTTTCAACATTACTTTACGGGTCAGAAGATGGACAGTGAAAAAGGCAGATATGGACCAAATCGGGGCTTTTAAAAGATGGTGTTAGCGCCGAATGTTGAAAATCTCGTGGACTGACATGGTTTCCGATCTGGAGAGCACTCAGAAACAGGAGGAAATAATTAACTCTCTCAAACGAAGAACATTCTAATACTTTGGCCACGTGATCAGAGGACCTAAATATACGATGCTACAACACAACATTAGGGAAGGAAAGATCAAAGTTAGCACGGAAGATTAGGAGAACCACGATAATATCCAACCTCCGTTAGGAGCAGGAACGAGAAGAACAAGAACACACCCTCAATATATCTAGATCACTTTTAGTTACGAGGATATGCGTTTTTTTTTTTAAGGAATTTCTACTTCACATTAATTCACAAAACGGGATGGGGAAATGGCGTCCTCGCTCCTCCATCGTCTCATCGTCAATCGATAACAATTCCGAGCCTCAAAACGTGACTAAATTGAAACGAGATTAGGCGACCGTCAATTTTTACTGCGTAATGGGAGGGTTGTTATAAGGACACGATCCCAGTTCCCCGTAGCGATTTCGAAGAGTCTCTAACCGACCCTCCCTATAATTAAGTACATCTACAAGAGAATTAGGGTGGAGAGGGTCGAAATATCCGGGACATTTTCCAGTGAATCTAATACTGATCTGACTCGCGTTCCGAGTTCCGGATTTATATACACACACCCCGCTCTTCATTGATTTTCCCCTCCGTGCCGCCTTAAGCCCCGTTAAATTGCTTTTTCCTCCACTTTTACCGACGGCTTCCGCACAAATTGCACTTTTATGTACATATATATATATATATATACGCGGGGATGTTTTTGCGGTCAAGCCTCGGATATATCGTAATCGTTTCCTTCGGGACATCTGGGTCTCGCAATTAACCAGTAAACAGCGCTGCGCTGTTGTTTTTCTTTTGAAAAATACTGTAATTGCTTTAAAAAGCCCAAAAATTCTCACGGAAAATTACACAGCTAAATTACAAAATTCGCGATAGTCCTTTTAAAATTTTAAAATTGCAAAAATGTCGTTCTCTAATAAAAGGCTATATTCTGTTACTTTTTTACTTAAAAATCTATGCCTCAAGGGATTTTACGAAAATTGACAACACGATTCACTAATCATTTCATATATCTCGAGTCATAAAAATTCAAAAATTCGTTAAATTTGAAACGCCCCGGAATTCGGTGTTAACTTAAAACGTTAACCAAAAAAGTGTCAATTATTTTTATCATAGAAATAAGAAATTATGAGGTGATTAGTTTAAATCATTGATTCATTATATAATGTAGGTAGGTAATGAATGACAAATTACATTATATATAAAATATGATGAAATATGTTCAATTAACAATCTAATAATGAAATGTTTGTGTTAATTAGATGATCATGAACATATTTTATTATATTTTTTATATAACATAATTTGTCATTCACCTACAATGTCAGCTAAATGCGAGAACAAACAATGCAAGACATAAAAATCGCGGTTAAAACAGAATCGCCCAAATTGAGGCATTTTCTATTTTTCTTATACATTTAATGGGAAATTTCGATATAGTCAATTAGAATTGTTCAGCAACATTCTTTTATCTCTATTTTTAAACAGGGCTATTATCATTTTGTAGCGAATAAAATGCGCACAAGTGCATTTTTATACGTTGATGTACTAGCGTCAACCATATGTAGCATTGGACCTAGCAAAACGAGTTATTACGGTCTCAAACCTCCAAGCTTTGACAGTTTGACGTTGACCATAAATCCTAATTATTATTAAGCAAATAACAACAAACGCGTAAAAGTAAAGTCAAAATAACATTTAAATCCGTGGTCCGGCAATGGATGAAATCGCAAAGCGTCAACGTTTGCAATAAATTATTCGCAACGTTCGTGGTTCGAACCCCGATATTATATTATGTTTTTTTTTTAATTATCTGTATACGTCTTTAGTAAATGGCAACCTAGGCGATTACACGTGCGATCTCTTTCACGATAGATAAACGTAAAGCTAAATCATAGTATTATGCCGCGGAGCTTTATGTTAACGAATCAAATTAGCTTTTAGCCTAATTAAACCGTTCGAACGATTTATACGCGAGGGACCGACAATGATATCGGGCCGCTGTAATGGCGGCCAAAATTACCGGCATTGTTTAAAATCGATAGTTTTAGTTTTCAATTATTGGCAAAAGCTGGTTGTCCATGTTTTTCTTTTTTGAAATGTTATATATTTAATTTTGTTTGTTTATTTTCATTCAATCCTTGAATACTGTTCCCTGAAGCCAACTAGATAAGGTAACAAAAAGTTTAACAAAAAAAAAAGTACCAAGAAAGCAAAGGCATCGGAGGACAGATTATTTTGCAAAACATTATTGTGGTCTAGGCTTAGAACGGTTTTTCTTTTCTTTTTTCGTTGTATTTTGCGTTGAATATAAAATCTTTACTTCCTATAGTATATTCTTTTTACTGAATACAATAAAACAAATGGAATTGAAATTGAGAAGAAGAAGATTAAGGTTGTGATCCATAGATGACGTAGGATTTTTTTTTTGGTTGACGATATGATCCGTCTGTAAGAATATCTTGAATCTGTTCCTGATATTCATTTGTGTCCATGACTACCGTAGCATTTCTGTATATTTCTAAATTGTGACATTGCGTCGTATTAAGAAAATAAAATAAATAGCTATCAGGGGTAGAAACGTCAGCGCCAGCTAAAAGAAATTGGCACCGGTAGTAGGAATCCCAGAGTCAGTGGCGTAGCTATTAGTTCGAACTAAATCCCGTTCCCCGTCACCCGCGCTCACCTTCCGGTTTTGGTGATGATCATTTCGGTGCCGAGGTCGTGAAACTTGTCCCACAGGTCTTTGGTTTCCAGGTGACATTCCACGTTGAGCAATTCCTCGCTGTTGCAGAGCACCTTCAACTTTTTTGGGGTGGGCGGCTTGTCGTGCAACAGGTCCGGACTGTCCCGATCCGCATCGGCCTGTTCCGAGCCGCAATCCGACACCGACGGAGATTGCCGATTCGGTTTCGATTTGTTGGTCGCGGCCGCCCTAGACGATTCGGCGTCCGAACATTCTTCGACGTCGACTTCGATCTCGTCGTCGTCGAGAGTGTCCTCGTCCTCGGGTGAGGAACCCGCCTGCGATGACACGCCTAGAAGGAAAAAAAAAATTTTCCACAGGGTACTAAACTTCTGGATTCATCTCGCGTCGAACTTGCTAACTGGCTTGCATTTTACTCTCTAACTGCTTATATATTGTTTGAGGGGTCTGGATCATATTGTTCTAATAACGGTCGAATTTCAGGAACAGCTAAAACCAAAATTATGGAAAGCCTACGTCATTGATACTCGTGTTATTTGGCCTCACAGTCAAGAATCCCTAGTAGAGTTTCTTAGACATTTAAACACGATACACCCTAACATACGTTTTACCATTGAGTTAGAAGCTGATAACAACCTGCCATTCTTAGATATTCTTATCGATGGAAAATCAGACTTGACATTGGGTCGTTGTGTTTACAGAAAAGCTACCAGCACCATCCGGCCCAAAAATCATACGTTATCAACTCTCTTATTTAGAGAGCCGTAAAAATATATCAGCCCCAGAATTGAAACACCTTACTTCTGCTCTTATCTTTAATAATTTCCATATTAAAGATATTAAGCGTTCCATCACAATAGGAAATCCTCACTTGCCACTGTTGTCCTTCTTTACACTCAAAACATCCACAACAACATATCAAAAGTTCTACGCAACGCAGGAGGAATCCAGAAGTTTTGTAAAAAGTGTCATTGAGTCTAAAATTCTGTAAAAATATAAATGAGAAGTTTTGTTTTGGGCTGAATCTAAAAACTTTTGATCCGAGCAACAAATCTCAATGAATTTTCCCCATGTTAAATAAAAATAGCGACCCCTCAGAGTTGAGCTACAGGGCTCATCTTTGGTGAAGATTTTTTTTATATCAAAAAGAAACATTTGAGAAGGTAAGATGAAAAAAAAATTTTTTTTTACCTCTTACCCTTACTTAATTTTTTTTTTTGATACTGCGTAAGCAAAGTTACAAAATAATTTGGCGATATAATATTTGGCTATATAATATTTCCATCTAATTTAATAATAACAATAATAATAATAATAATAACTATAATAATTATTGTATAAAATATTGACAAAATTTTCTGTATACTTATATAAAGAATATACTAAATATAATGGGTGTTTTTTTTCGATGTATTGAACTTCAAGTTGGCATTACTGTTCAAGATGGCGACCGATTTAACAGGTGTCAAGTGATTTATTTTCAGTTTGGTTCGGCAATTCATCATGAATTCATCAAGTAAGGCGTAGATTCGTCGAATGGGCCCAAAGCGAGATTGCCGTTGTTTTGTTTAGCGATGAAGCGCACTTCTGGTTGAATGGCTACGTCAACAAACAAACAAAACTGCCGCATTTGGAGCGAAGCTAATCCTCAAGTGTATGTCGAAACACCGTTACATTCAGAAAAACTGACTGTTTGGTGCGCTTTATGGGCTGCTGGAATCATTGGTTCGTACTTCTTCAAAAACGATGTTGGCCAGAACGTTACAGTCAATGGTGGTCGGTATAGAGCTATGATTACTAACTCTGTCATTCCTGAATTGAATAATCATGATGTCCAGGAGATGTGGTTTCAACAAGACGGCGCAATTTCACGTTTTGGACCTGTGAATTGGCCTCCAAGATCTTGTGATTTAACACCGCTAGACTATTTTCTGTGGGGCTATGGGGATAAGCCACAAACGCTTGACCATTTGGAAGACAACATTCGCCGTGTTATTGCCGATATACTGCCGCAAATGTTGGAAAAATTTATCGAAAATTGGACTACATCCGCGCCAACCGTGGCGGTCATATGCCAGAAATCATATTTAAAATGTAACGCCACAAGATTATCTTTCGGATAAATAAAATAAATAGATTCATCTCAAAATGCGAAGTCTAACTTAAGATCTTGGTCCCAACTTCAAAATTAACCATTTATCGTGAATCTTGGAGAAACTTTTTTAGTTCCGACAAATGGACTTTAAATTTTTTCTGAACCGAACCGCACTTAAAGTATTTATTATGTAACTATTCAATAGTTTAACCGCATTGTTGGTAAAGCAGCTTTGAAATTTACAAGAACTATACAGAATATCGTTCGCCATAATTGAACTTTCAAATTTTACTTTGATAAGCAATATATAAGAACTGTAATTGTAATTGTATTTTTTTTTTTGGTTTTTGCAATCTTTAGATCGGAATTTCTTTTACCGCAAATTTTGCAAAAATAAAATATTTGAAATCCCCCCTCTTCGGGCCTTTCGAACGAACGATATTTATTGCTTTAGAAAAAACGCTGCTGTTACCGTAAATCTTGTTTTATTTTTGTATATACATATGTGTTATCTAAAATTCAAATTTTGCTCCGGTTCGCGTATTTGATTTTTGCCAAATTTATGAATGCACTGCTGTTGCGGCAATTGATATACGTTTTAATTTACACAGTGTTTTCAATGTATATAGACTTTACGTCTTCATATCAGCTTCATTCAGAATAATTTTTGAAAAAAATTAAATTCTTTTGTCCAAGGTAAAATCAATTTAACTGTTGCGGAAACTCTTGAATACCGATTTGTTAGCAAGACAGATCAAGACTTCCCCTGCGGAATTGGTAAACCCTTTGCTATTTGCAGCACAAAAAATATATTTTTTTTAGTAGGCAACAATTCACCCGCTTTTCCACTGTTAACGAATTGTGGTGATGGATTGAATCGTTTGAAGTTCGTAAAGAATTTGTTAAAACTACTCTATTGTCCACGCAAGATTTAGAACGATATTGAGTAGTAGATCCGACGGATCACATTGGACGATGTAATTTTAATTCTCTGCTCTTCGTAAGAACAAAATTAACAAAATAAAAGTTTAAATTCGTCTAAATTTACATTGCTACTTATTTGCTATTAACTCACTCGATCTCCTCAAACTCTTTAGCAATTTGGCAACACCAATTTGTGTGATACAAGTGATTTTGATGCTCGTAGATGCCAGGATGGTTTAAACCAAAACTTTTGGCTTCATGCGCCACGGAAGACAGAAGCAAGAGGACCTTATGCGGTTTAGAACGTTTGATAAGTATATTGGAAGACCTAAATGGATATCAGGATTCTTTAGTCCAAAACTACAGTTTGGAACGATAAATAAGTATATCGCATCGCACACATTATAAGACCAAATTTTATATCTCATATCGTATGATTTTTTAAGAATAAAAGTGATAGTTTATGATACAGGGTTGTCGAGACCAAAGCTTATGGCTCCAATACCACGGAAGAGAGAAACAAAACGAGTTTGATAAGTATATTGGAAGACCTTAGACACTGGATTGTTGAGGACAAAACTTTTGGTTTTATGCGCCACTGAAAAAAGAAGCAAAAAAACAGGTGATAACTCAGTTACTACAGCTAGACAGCGTACGTACCTACATCTTGGAAGAACAAATTTCAGATCTAGCAAAAAAGGAAATCTGATGTCATTTGGAGCAAACATATCATGTGTTTTTCTGAGGATGTAATATATGTAAATGATTGTATATATGTGATATAAGTGATAGTTTAAGCAAAAGAGGCAATAGTTACATTAACATCTACGACTCTAGCTCACTATGAGTGAATATTCTACTGTTTTATAAGGAACGGGGTAACGGAGTGAACATGAGGACCATTAGGCCTAACCAGTTGCGGTTACACCACTACGAAGCGAGAGATTATTATTTTCGATCCCCAGAGAGAATTAAAAAAAAAAAACTAACCATCGTTCGTGACGTCGGAGGGTCTGGCGAAGGTGTCGACGGGACCGACGCCTCTCGCCATGATAGCCGCGATGGAAAAATCGGTGGCCCTGTGACTCTTGGCGGTCGGTACCACCAGGTCGTCCGGCACGGCGCCCAGCAACATGACACTCCACAAAAATGTCACCAAAAAACACCTCAAAAGAGAGCACTCAGAGTTCAACGCATTTACGCGACGGCAAAGCACTAAGAGAGGAAGACGTGGCCGCTACAAGACTGACCCGTCGAATAAAGGTGCCCCAAACTGCCGGGTTTTCGGTAGGCGGAGCCTCCGAACGGTGCGACGGGCGGAGCCAACGCCGATCGGGTGGGAGGGGTCGGGTATGATGCGTGTGGTCTCTGTACGTTTCACCCGAGTGGCGCTATCAATCAGATTCGGTTGTGGTTACGGTGGCGACGTGGCATGTAGACAGACACTTGATATCACTTTGGTAGCCCACCCACCGGTGTTTGACCAGGGACCCAGGACATGGCCGCGACTTTCGAAGCGGTCCGGCGTTTCGTTTGTTTTTTAATTGGTCCTTATTGGAAAGCGTTTTTCCGCGGTTTTAAATTTGGAGTGGGAGCTATGCGCGTTTTTTCGAAAAAAAATTGACGATTATTGAGGGTTTGTAGTACGGAGTTAACGGTAGAGACAAGCATAAAAAAAATCTCTATTCTATACGTCGCCGATCCGTCGGATGGCAGTTTTAAGAAAGTACGCTTATGCGGGGTGTTTTTTTTAGGTTTATCGTGGGACAATAACATTAACAAATAACATTAGTTAGGTAGATAATTTTTTCGCAGAGCCCAGTACAGTGGACGTTTCGTCAGAAAACAAGCACAGAATAAATTACAACTTATGTATGTTATGCATAATTACAGAAAACCGTTTGCGATTTTTTACAATAACTTAGCATTTTAGGAACTATGCGTTATTACCGAAAACTGTTTGTGGTTTTTGATAATAACTGAGCATTTTTGACATTATGGGTAATTACTGAAACTATTATTGATTTTGCATAAATAACTGACCATTTTAATAGTTGTGCATATTTACTGAAACTGTTAGTGATTCTTCATAATAACTGAGTATTTTAGGAATTATTCTTAATTACTGAAAACAGTTTGGAATTTTACATATTAACATAACCATCAATATTGATAATAACTAAAAATTTTACAGGCATTATGCGTAACACCTGAACATTTTGTTGTTGTGTGTACTCTTGAATTACTAGTTCTTTGAAGTAGAAAACACAAGAAAGTAAGTACTTCCTCTCCAATCTATTGAAGCAACATCTTTTATGACTAACTACTACTACTACTACAAGAAGACCTTTATTCTTTATTCAGTTATACTTTTTACAACTACCGCGGAACTTTGAAGTTGTTACAGCTAAGAGCATCTTAAGCTGAGCTTCTTAATTTCTTCAGTACATTCGAATTTAACACTGGCACTTATCTTTAGCAGGCACACCAAAACTTAATGTAACCGAATATAAACACAACCGCCCAAAACTAACTAAAAAATTTGCGAATAAAATTTTATGCCATTTACTTTTCGTAAGATCTCTGTTAGGGTAAGGACTTACTCTAATAGTGACCTGATATACAGTAAGGTGACGAAGCTGCGAAGATCGGTTATTAGATAAAAAGTGATCCTAATTAAACGAGCAGCCTTATCCGAAATACTACCATTAGGGTAAGACGAGACTTACTGCAATGTGTATAGTTGCAACGACAAAGCTGCGAAGTACAATTATTAGATCAAGGAAGGAAGGAAATTGGATTGTAATTACGTGAGCGCCGAAGTATTAGAGTAAGTCCTGCCTTACTCTAATAGTGATCTAATGTGTACTACTAGGACAAAGTTGTTAAGTGCAACTATTACATTAAATGACTTACCTGATCCTAAATGCTACGAATAAGATCACTATTCGGGCAAGACAGAGAGCAGTTATGACATACTTGTAGACAAAAAGTGATCCTAATTACACGAGCATGCATTACCCGAAATACTACACGTTCCATCACTATTAGGGTAAGATAGGACTTACTGCAATGTGCAACGACATAGCTGCGAAGTGCAATTATTAGATCAAATCACTTAACTATAACTTAACTTAACTATTAGAGCAATGTGCAATTATAAGATTAAATGACGTCCCTGATCCTAAGTACTACAAATAAGATCACTTTTTGGGGCAAGACACTCTAGTCTAGTAAGAAAACAAAGCAAGGAATTACAATTATTACGAGGTCTGTCAATTAGATTCCCGGAAAAGTGGCAACACTGCGACTCTCGTTATGCTACTGCGTTCGCGTTGTGTCATTCGAAAGAGGATTCATTTCTGCGTCAGTCTGTGCAAGTTTCGTCTCGATCGGTTGTTCAGTTCGTGTGTTACAGTACCTTGATCATCGGCGTGTTTGGACCCCTTGTCGCGAAAATGTGTGCTAAAAAAACTGAACAAAGAGTAGTGATCAAATTTTTGGTCAAACGTGGTGTAAGTTCCGCGCAAATTATGAAACAGTTAACCGACGTGTACAAGGATGATTGCCTGAAAAAAACAGCTGTCTACGAGTGGGCTAAGCGGTTCAGGGAAGGCAGGGAGTCGGTGGAGGACGATTCACGTGAGGGAGCTCCCTCCACCTCTCGAACGGCACAAAACGTCGATCGCCTGCGCGTGCGTGTGCTCGGAGACCGTCGGGTAAGCCTCAGAATGTTGGAAGACGAGTTGGGTATCAACAAGGAAACCATTCGACAGATGCTACACGAGAATTTAGGGATGCGCAAGTTGTGCGCGAAAATGGTTCCCAAAGTGCTCACAGTTGAGCAGAAAGAGCTTCGTTTATCCATCTGTGAAGACATGATTTCTCGAATTGAGAAGGAAGGAGAAGACTGGATGTCAAATGTTATTACCGGAGACGAGCCTTGGGTGTTCCAGTATGACCCTGAGACCAAACGACAGAGCATGCAGTGGGTGGAAAAGGGGGGGAAGCGCCCCACAAAAGCCAGAATGTCGAAATCAAAAGTGAAATCTTTGCTCATCGCATTCTTCGATATTAATGGAGTTGTACACCACGAATACGTTCCAGCAGGTCAGACAGTCAATGGGAAGTTCTACATTGAAGTTTTGAAACGTCTGAAGGCCCGTGTGTTTCGTGCACGGCCGGAATTGGCCGAACGTGGATGGGTGCTGCATCACGACAACGCTCCAGTCCACTCCTCATTCGCAGTTCGCGATTTTTTGACCAAAAACGGCATTCCAACGCTTCCGCACCCCCCCTACAGCCCGGACCTGGCCCCCTGCGACTTTCATCTCTTTCCACAATTGAAGTCCTACCTCAAGGGCAACCGATACGACGGCGTCGAGGAGGTGCAACGTGTCACGACACGGGTGCTGAGGGACCTATCTTCAGGGGGCTTCAGGGGGTGCTTCCAATGGTGGATCCAACGGTGGCGCCGGTGCATCGAGCTAGAGGGAGACTACTGCGAAGGATTATAACTTAATTTTAAGAATTTATGTATATTCCGGACCGTCCGGGCACTTTTCCGGGAATATAATTGACAGACCTCGTAGGTCACATGACTCTTCCGTAAGTAAAAAGTGATCCTCATTACAAGAGCAGTCAGGCAGGACTTACCGTAACAGGGATAAATAAATCGAATGAGTTACTGCGAGCTGAGAAGTGTAATAAATATTAGAGTGAGTTGTGTAACTTGCGATATGGGTGGTGCCGTATTACCTATATAGGTATAAAACCTTGTAATATGCCTTCTTGAAATTCAAACGTCTGTCTTTCGAATACAATGGGACTGACGGTCCCTCATCTGCTACACAGTCGTAACAGATATATATCAACCGCAAGAGATGAATGCGATATTAATTGACCGTTAGGCGTTTGCAAACAGGGAGGGTTGGGATTTGTTCGAGCCCGGTCTCCCGCGGTGATATCCGCGTTGTCGACCCGAAATATATCGGTTCGAGACAAAAAGGGCAATCGACGACTTTTTTGACGTTTCCCCGATGCCTTTCAATCTCACAGTAAAAAATAATAAGATTCCGGTCGCAATAGTTTCGTTAATATCGCGGGCCAAAGCGGCGGTCACTTTTTTACCGGGATTGTATGGGTCACTTTTAAACTAAAAGCTACAGGGGCAGTTGAATGGGATAATAATAATAATATTTATTTAAATCAATAATAGAATAGAATATTGTGACGGGAGATGAAACTATGGTTCTCTATTATGACCTCCAAGAAATTCAGAGTCTGCCAGTCAACAAAAAAGGTGATGGCCACGATCTTTTGCGATTGTGAAGTAATTCTTTTGATAAATTTTTAAGCAATTAATACCACTGTCAATGGTAAATATTACGCAACATTATTACATAAATTGCGAGACTGCATACGTGTAAAACATCGCACTGCTGGCGTAGCACAAGCTGCCATTTTAGAGTGTGGGTCCCAACAAATAGATCATCCTCCCTATAGTCCGGATATGGCCCCCAGCGATTATAATTTGAAAAAAGGACCTACGTGGACGGCGGTTTAACGACGAAGTTGAGTTAAAAGAGGCTGTTTTAGCTCATTTCGCAGACAAACCAAAAGAATATTTTTTTAAAGGGATGGAGTTTGAAGTTGAGGGGGATTATATTGAAAAATAATAAAAAATTGTTACTATACTTTGATTCTTTCATATTCAGGCCGGGAAATTTCGGCGCTGCCCTCGTAAATACTTCCAGCAAATATACTATTATTATTATTATTATTAGTATTATTTATATCCATATATGCATACTCTTAAGTGCGTCACATAAAAATGTAACCTCCGCGTCATAAATACCGAAGCCGTTGGAGCGGGTTGCATTTCTATAGGATCACGGGCTCGCATATCCCTTAAAGAGTTATTGTGCCATCGGCCATTAATCATACCGCTGGTATACACACCACAATATAAACAAGTATTTTTTATGTCATCGGATACCTGACGCATCCGAATAATACCTTGTTTATCACTGCCATCAACACCACGGGAACAGTCAGCTAAGCCTAAGGAATGTCCTCTATTCAAGGCATTCAGAATGCGGTTGTGGGTGGCCCGTACCAGCAGAAGCACTTCTCTCGACGGAAATACGTACGAGGTAGGTCGACGCGTAATAATTGGCGGATAAAAATATTTCGCGCGTGGAATGAGCCCGGAAAGCTATACAGGGCG